AGGTGTGCATAGATACATGGTATCCATGCGTGTCTATGCTTGAAGATGAGCACTCTGTGTCCGGGAGAATATGCAAGAACCTGGTAAGGATGAATGTATCCAGGGGGCACAGGAGACGGGAGCAAGAAGGAGATTTATTTTCATATGTACCTTTTATACTTTATGCTGGTATTGATATATATACACACACATACACATATATATGGGTATATGTATGTGTATATATACAAGTATATAAAAGAGGTCTTCTCACTTCCAACCTCTCTCTTCTCCCACCCATTCTACATTATCAGGAGCCATGTTCCCCAAGAACGGCTTGAGCCCCAACTTTCCTCTGCTTAGAAATATCCCTCGATGCCCACCATCTACAATGCAATATGGTGATGTGGTTAAAAGCCCAGACTCTGAGGCCAGGGTTTCAAGTCCTTCCTCTTCCGCTGACTCTGCTGAGCAGAGTGACCTTGGACAGGAATTTCAGCTCAGGGCAGTGGGCTCTGCAGCACTGGCCAGACCGTCCTTTGAGACTGAAGGAAGTGTTCCCCAGCTTGCTGCAGTGCTGCAGGCTGACAGCCTTCAGCTGAGTCTCTCTCCAGAAACTGCTCCTGACTTAAGAGAGCCACCCAAGGCCATGCTCCTTCCCTGGGGTACCTGTATCCAATGACTAGTTGACCCAAGAGTCCCTCATCCCAACTCGGAACATCTTTGAAGGGACACCCTAATCTCAGTGTGTCTTACGGGGTAGGCTTTTGTTGAAGTTGCATCCCAGGCCAGCGTCTCCCTCTGCCTGGTCCTTTCCCTCTCCTCCCCAGGTGTTGATCCCAGGAGCATTCTCTAAAACGCCTCCTGCACATTACTGCCATCTCAGAGTCGTCTTCTTAGGGAACCTGACTGGTAACACACATGCTTACAATGGGATAATCACAGTTGTTGGGAGGATTTAATGAGTTTTACTTGAAAAGTGCTTAGAACCATGCCCTGGTACATAGTGATGTTCACTATCTATTATTATTAGAGAATAGAGTTAAATCTCTTAAAACCCTTAACCTTTGTGATTGGGCCCAGCCACATCTCCAGGCTTACTGTCCATCTTTCTGTTCACACACTTATGCCAAAAGCAAACTGGCTCCTGGAGGTTGCTCCAACGCATCTTGTACCTTTCTTGACGTCTCAGGGCCTCTGCCCACACTCTTCCTTCCGCCTGGATGCCTGTTCTCCCCCAGCTCTGTCTGGCAAGCTTATACGCCCTCTGTGGGTCCACCTTCATGATGCCTTCCACAGGGTCTCCCACTGTACATAATGTGGCCCCCTCCAGGGTCTCCATAGCACCCTGCAGCTTTTTTTTTTTTTTTTTTTTGTCAGCTGGCTGATACCAGGATCCGAACCCTTGACCTTGTACCTTGTAGCTTTTCATACCGTACACATTAAGTACCTTGCAGCACTTGGAGAATATGTCTCAATGCCCTTGACAGATCACAAGACCTAGATCATGTTGGTCTTTGTATCCTTGTTACCCTGGCCCTTTTAGATGTACAATAAAAAATCTGAGCCAAGAGAAGTGTTCCCAAAATAGCTCATTTAATGAAGACCTTTAGGCTCCTGGGGATGACAGTTATAGGGGTGACCACATGTGCAACACTGCCCTCTTCTGGCCAAAATGAGACGGTGGGAACAGGAAGCTGCTCGGAGAACTTGTTATTTCTACCGTATATGAATAGATCGTATCTGTATAACTTAGAGTTTAATATGGTTGAGTACTAGACAAAACATTTTATATCTACTTGCCCATTAAGTCATGGTCTTTCTATAAGTTACGGTAGATTCTTCAGCCAAGAAAAGGATAAAAAAGTCTAACAAGGATTGAATTTTTACATGGTTGTTCAAATTTTGAAAGGACAAAATCCAATGGTGTGCTGCAACCTAAGATCAAAGAGGAGCTGAAGGCACGTTTTAGGACAGTCTTTAAAAACTGCATTTTAAACTGCAAAACAAACATAGTGGGACAGTGCACTTGAGTGATCACTTGTTAATGGAGCTTTAACACTCCGCATAGGCATGCCTCTGACCATGGGCCCAGCTGTTGTCTACTCTACTGAACCCAGAGCAAGAGGATGAACTTCACCTCCAGCAAGATGAACACCCACGATGGAACAGAGGGATGCCTGGAAGTGTGTGTGTGGTATCATTAAGATGCAAAACGATCAATTACAAAGCTAGGTTGAGTGTGGAAGGAATGGATGGGCTGACTGGAGCTCCTTAGTGAATATATCACTTGCTGGTCCTCACAACCTCTCTTTGACATGGGTAGGATTTGAGTAGGAGCAAAAGACAGAGAGAGACTCTAGTGACTTGTTCAATATCACCAACATTAAAACCATGACCCAGACTCCTTCACAGGCAAGTCTGTATCTCTCCAGAGTGGGCTATGCCTCCACGTAGGGAGAGCCGGGCCCTGTGAACTGAGGCTAACACCATAAAGTAATGAAGTCACTGCCCACAGTCTCTAAGGGAGGCCTCCTGAATCCTGGCCATCACCTCAAAAGAAAATGCCATTTTTCTTATTAAGAAAGCAAGAATTTCTAGAGGACAGCTTGCTTTCAAATATGTGTGTTTCTTTAAGAAACTCTCCTTTCTCTGGAATGCTTTCCAAAATGAAATCAATCTCTTGAAAACTGCTTTAAAATAAAGGTCAAGACATGCTATTTGCTTATTTAGCTTTCTGGTATTTTTTAGTAAACTGAGAGGAGGAGAGGGAAAGGCCAGGCCAAGCTGAAACAGGTACAGACACATTTTCTCTGAAGAAGAAACAACGAGAAACGGTCTTATAGGCCAGCCCTGAAGCAACGGATTTCATCTTTAGGCCGCATCACACCCGTTCTGTGGGTTGAGGTGGGGAAGTCACTCTCTGCCAGATGCGTAAGCACCTCCAGCATTCTCCTGTGGCAGAGTTTTTCTCTGGAAGTTTCCATGTGGCCAACAGGATGCCTGCTTTAGGACAGATGGGAAGATTGCCACAGGGGAGCCTGCTCTTCTATTTTCAGTAAGACAAAAGTTAGGCTCGGATGTCCATTCTCCCTCATCTTTTAAAAATAACACTTTTTAAAACTATAAGAGCAACACATGCTGATTGTAGAAAAACTTTTTTTAAACATGAGACAAAAAGAAAATTAAAATCATCTGTAATTCTATTGCACAGAGATAGCCACTGTTGACATTTTAATATATTTCTTCCTAGTATTGTTTCTATGGGTTTAGATAAATAGATAAATATTTTAAACAAAACTGGAATGGTGCCACTATTAGATTTTCTGTTCTAATTTTTTCACCTTGACATTTTATCATGACTTTTCCAGACATTGGCTTGTACAGTCCATTGAGTCTTCCATTGGAAGCTGGGGAGGGAATATATCAGGTGGTTCCCTGTAGCCACCGTGAACTGCAACACTGGTCACTAGTTGTTAATCCTCCTCTGTCCTTTTATGACCATGCGCCGAGGCAGAGGGATGACAAGATTGGGGCTTACACACCCATGAGGCTAAGTGATCTTAATGTGGCCTTTTTGGTCACATGTGTCCAAAGACAGGACAAATCTGGGGAGAGTTCCTCACCTGTGCCTCTATCTAAAGTCTTCCCATATATTTTCTGGTTGCCAGAAAGCA